CTCCCTGAGGCGGGGCCGGGTCTGCCCACAGCACAGCCAGCACACAGAGGCCCAGCAAAGCCTTCGTCTCTGAGGCCAGGGCAGCCAGGTAGGCTGCGGGCCCAGGTTGTCCACCCCAGGTGGGGCCTGGAGACCCTGGCAGGCCAGGTGGGTGGGGCAGGGTTTGCCCAGACAAGGTCTCTCCCTGTCTTTTTTGCAAATGACTTAATTGCTCTGTAAATTTACCTTTGAGGAAGACCTTAGTGAGCACCGGGCTCTCCCGGCTGGAACCAACATTTAGAAGCCGAAATACCAGTTTCCAAGGTTGCGAGAAGGAAGAAGAGGAGGAGGACTTAGGGGAGCAGGTGGTGCACGGAGCCTGGGGGCAGCCTGGCCATGCTCCCTGCTTCTCCCAGGCTCCAGGCTGTGGGCCCAGGGCCCAGGTCTGAACCACGGGGCAACTAAATAAACAATTCTGTGAGGCTCTGTGTGGACTCAGGGATGACTCAGCCCCTGCCCGCCCTGGGGGCGCTCTGGGGTGGGTGGTGGGAGGCTCTCTGTGAAGCCTTTCTGGACCTTTCAGCGAGGAGATGGGGAAGTGACCTGCACAGAAGGAATAGCAAAAGCAAAATCTTGGAGGAAGGAAAGCTTTGGCAAAACCAGGCGAGGTGGTGGCAACCCCAAGACCTCTTGCTTGGCTGGCGGGGGGCGGGGGTGACTCTGCAAGGGCGGGTTGGGGCAGATCCAGGAAGGCCTTGAAGGCTGTGCTAAGGTTGGCCTTTATCCTGCAGGCCCAGGAGAGCCACTAAAGGTCTATGAGCCAGGCAGGGTCATTCATTCAGTCACAGAATTTTATTGAGCACCTACTGTGTGCCGGGTGCTGTCCCAGGTGCTGGGGCCACGGGCACTTCCACGATAATAATTATTGTTACGGCTAATGTTTACTGAGTGTTCGCCATGTGCTGTGCGTTATTCTGAGTGCCTTATACATACTACATCATTTCAACTTCACAGCAACCTTGTGAGGTAGTTACTATTATCCCCATTTTGCAGATGGAGGCACAGCCGGGGTTATAGCAACTTACCTGTGGCCACAGAACTACCAAGAAATAGGGTAGAATTTGAACTCGAGTCCTCTGGACCAGGCTCTCTGCACTAAGCTGCAGAGTTTCTCTGCTCATGTCCTCTTTTGCCTCCCAGGCCCCTGCAGGCCAGGCCCCCATCAGGCATCTGTGGACATGGGCCGGTTCAGTCTGGCAACAGTGGCCCAGGGCAGGGGTCAGCTGGGAGAGGCCACCATGTGAGCAGTCTGGTCCCAACAAGAATAATGAAGGTCACGTGCCCCAGGCTGGCCCAGTCTGGGAGGGAGCAGCACCTCCTGTTACTGTCTTGGCCTGTGCAGCCTGGAGGGCGGCACCAAGAGGTGGTCAGGGTCTGAGCATTCTCCCCACTTAGCAAATGGGGCATCCGGCTGCTGAGGGCCCAGTGACACCATTTCACGGGGAGTTGGCTCAGGTCCCCCTCCCCTACATGCAGCCTGGGGACAGCAAGGGAGAACCCGCATCTTCCAGGGATGCCTGGAAGGGGAGAAGGGGTCTCCCAGCCCCTGGACCCCCTCCATGGCCCTGGGGCTTGTTCATGTGAGGGGAGAACTGGTTGTCCAGAGTCTTGGCAGGACTGGAGTTTGAAGCAGAGTTTGGAGCAGGCAGGGCCTCGTAATTCTCAAACACCACCTGTTTTATGAGGACAGCAGAGCCTTTGGACCGAGATGATTGGGCCGGTGGCTCTGGGGCCACCAGAGAAGGGCGGGCCTCTTGATAAGGTAGGGGCATCTAGCCCAACCAGCAGAACATGGGATACTACGTTTTTTTCAGGTGACCTCGGCCAGGGGAGGCAGGGGAGCATCAGGGTGGGAAGGCAGGACAGCCTAGGAGTGGGCGCAGGAAGTCCAGAGCAGGGGCTCGAGAGCCAGACTGCCTGAGCCCACTTCCCAGCGGTGTGGCCATGAACTAGTTGCTCAACCTCTGTGTTTCAGTTGTCTTCTCTGTAAAATGGGAGCAATAGTTGTATCCTCCTTGTTGGGTTGTTTGAGAATCACAAGAGAACAATATACGTGAGGCGTTAGCATGGCGGCTGGCACACTCAACACTAATCATTCTGCTGTGATGACTCTGTCTGCGGAGCACCTGCTCAGGTACCCTCCCCATTTACCTCGGGATATAGTAAGTGCTCAGTAAACGTGACTCTTATTCATATTCATAATCATGATACTCCTGACAGCAGCCCCTCAGGGTGGGGGTGGGTGCTCCATCTTCCAGATGAGGCTCAGGACTGTATGGGGAGCCAGCTGCTCAGGCAGGACTGGAAGCCTGTGCCTCACGTGCACAGGGATGGCCCACGTGCAGGGCTGGGCAGGGCATCTGGGATGTCCTCATGGTTGGCCGAGCCTCCCGCCGGGGCAGCGGATGGGGGTGGAAGGGGAGCCTTGTGGTAGAGGCCATGTCTGGGGAGAAGAGGGCAGTGGTCAGGATCAGCTAGGTTATGCTGCAGTGACAACCCCCAGGTCTCAGTGGCTTGAAACAATGGAGGTCATCGCGTGCTCACATAGTATATATGGATGTCAGTGGCAGCTCACCTGGGGGCTCGGTGTCTCCTGACTCTGTGACTCGGGTTCACAAAGCAGACGCAGGTCACTGGTTGCTGTAGCAGAAGTACACCGTGCTCCAGACCTGTGCTGTCCCGTAGGGCAGCCACCAGCCCCGTGTGGCCCTATTTGAGTTTAAATGAAGGAAAGCTAGGTATAAGTTAAAATGTAGCTTCTCAGCCCTTCCCAGGGCTCAGTGGCTACACATGGTTACTGTACCGGACTCTCACTCAGCTCTGGGACTCTTCTGTCTTCACAGAAAGTTCCATCAGACAGCACGCTTCCACGGAGTCTCCTACCAGCAGTTCAGCGTTCCAGCCCAAGCTGACAGGCATCCTTTTTTTTTGCAACTCACACGGGGAGTTGGGAAGTGCAGTCCTACTGTGTGCCCCCAGGGTGGGGAGAATCAGTAGAATCAATCTTCCGAGAGTGGATCCCGGATGGGGTTGTGGGTCAGCAGAAGGGGAGACCCAGGTGGAGGAGTAGAAAGAGGAGAACCAGTGAGACCGGCAGACAGAAGGCAGATTGTGGAAGGGACTAGAGCTGGCATGTCTGTCCTGGAGCATGCTTCTCAACCCCGAGCCTCTTCCCTGTCCAGAAAAAAGGCCCTGAGGAATGTGGTGGCCCAGGGGCTACGTGCCTGACTGGGGGAGGGGTTAGGGAGACCACAGGAGGGATACAGGTGAGACGCACAGAGAAACTCTCCCTTGGGTCAGGAGCCCTGAAGATACCCGCAGAGGTGAAGGGTCGAGAAGTCTCCCGGGTAGAGCCCGGCAGAAGCAGGCTGATGTGGCCCTGAGGCTGGGGCATGGCCGGGATGACCTCTAAAGGACCCTGCTCCATGGGAGGATTGGCCCAGAAACCAGTTCTGGCCCTCCCCCACGCCTTTCCTGTTCGCTTCAGCTAAATAGATCAGAAGGAAAAAGTCTGTTTGATTTTAATCTCAACTCAGGACACTGGAGATTACATTTTCCACGGAAAATGTCAGCCGTTGCCTAAAATAGGGCTTTGGAGAAAATGCTAGAAAGTGTATTTTTAGGTTCTATGTTTTCCTCCTGGATTCCTGCAGTCCAGTGGGCCGCTTGAGACTCTCCATGGTTCTGCTGCCAGGTGCAGACCCCAGACCTTCCCAACAGGTGGGCAGGGACAGGGCGCCCTTGGGAAATGGTGCTGGCAGGTGCTTGAGCTGAAATCAAGTGGACAGAGGACCAGAACGTGTATCAGGAAGGAGAAGGAGGGAGGGGGAGCCTCCCAGGGGTGCGGCCTCGGATTCTGCGTTGCTAACAAGCTCCCAGGTGATGCCGGTGCTGCTGGCCTGGGGACTGTCCTGTGAGTAGCAAGGAACAGGAGGAGGCAAGGCTCTGTTTGTCTCACTCTGGGAGGGGCCTCAGCAGGTCCCAAGCTTGGCCAGAGGGAAGAGGAACCCACCAGAGTCCACCCTCCAGGGCCCCTTCCCACAGACCCACAAACACATTTTTTCCATGTGACCTTGTTCAAGCCGTGTCTCCGCTCTAGACCTCAGGTTGTGCACCTATGAAATGGGGTCAATCCCCATCTGCCTCCCCTTTAGGCTGTTGGGGAGATTCCAGGACTTTAGGTACTGAGGCAGCCAGCCCTGCCTGAAACAAAGGTGCTTCAAGAAACGGAGGAGGTAAAAGTGGAGCCCGCAAAGTGGCAGCAGGTCCTGGTGGTGTTTGGAAACATAGTTCTTCAAAACGTTCTGTGGGGCCAGGCCTGGGTGTGCCAGGTGGGTCTTGGCTGAGCTTACCTGGAGCAGAGGGCCTGGGAGGGGGTAAGTGGAGACTCAACCTCCAGAAACTGAACCGTGGCGGATTCCTCACTGCCTGGGATGCTGGCAGCTAGGGTCAAGCCCAGGGGGAGCCCCTGGGTGGGGTGGGGCTCAGCAGGCTGGCGGTGCCACAGACCTTGTCCCTGTGGTCCCGAGAATCAGGTGTGTCAGAGGTGCCCTGAGCCGATGTTCTCAATTTGAGGGAGGGGCTGGGGGACATTGCAGGAGAGCTGTCAGAACTACCAACTCCCCTTGTGACCTCAGGGGTCCCATCTCTTCTCCAGGCCTCAGTTTCCCCTCTGTGCATCGGAGGAGGGACTGGGCTGGAGGGTCTGGCAGAACCCTCCTGTATCTGGTCTTGTTCCAGGGTAAGTGAGGCCACACCAGACCTTCAACAACCAGGTTGAGGGGAGGGCAGGTGGGTGGAAGCATCTGGGCTTCCATCTGTTCTGCGACCTCAGAGAGCTGTGGGGATATGTCCTGCCCATCGTGGTGGTCCTGGTGGGGACGGGGGGAGGGGCTGCTCACAGTCCTCCCAGGCCCCGCTGTGTAACCCAGCCATCTCTTGTCTCCTCATGGCTCCTGTGGCTGCCTGGATCCGGCAGAGCTCCCAACCGAGGAAGGTGAGGCTTGGGCCAAGGCAGGCTGAGAGTCCACTGGGCGACACCCTGGGCCATTTACTGTCAGGCTGTGTCCTCGCTTCCCCATTAGAGTGGGGCCTTTCTAAGCTCCCCCAGCATCACCCACCTGTGCCTCTCAGGCTCTCAGACTCTCCCTCTTCGAATGGTAGGGAGGGAGTGGGCCAGGTGGTCCCTACCCTATCAATGGAGGCAGGTCAGTCGGGCGGGTGCCCAGGCCTCATGCAGTGCTCCCGTTCCCAGGGAAGTCCCTGTGGGAGCTGGTGCTGGAGCAGTTTGAGGACCTCCTGGTGCGCATCCTGCTGCTGGCCGCCCTGGTCTCCTTTGTAAGTAAGGCCCCCATTCTACGGCATCGGGCAGCCTGGGAGGGAGAGCAGGTGGGGGCGGTGCTGAGGCCCAGGCTGTGGACCACAGGGCAGTCCTGTCAGCTGTGGGCATCCCTGGGCCCCTACCTGCCCACCGCCCTTGCCCCCAACACTGGACTCCTGGCCCCCATCTGTCCCCTCCAACCCCTCTCACACCCTGGCTGTCAGAGAGCTCGAGAAAGCACAAGTCTGACCCTGCCCTTCCCTGCCCGGCAAAGGGTTCCTTAGCACTGCTGACTTCCTGGACCAGGTAATTCTTTGTTGTGGGGGCCATCCTGTGCACTCTAGGATTTTTAGCAGCATCACTGGACTCTGCCCACCAGACGCCAGCAGCACTCCCTAGTTGTGACAATTAGGTCTACGATGTTACCATATGTCCCTGGAGGGGCAAAATCCCCCAGGCTGGGAGCCCCTTCCCTGGCCTCCAGCTCCTCAGACAGACCTTGGGCCTTACTTAACCTCCTGCCGCCTCCTCGTGGCTGTTGCTCGCTGTTGCTGTCCCCTATTCCTGCTGCGCAGATTCCTTCTGGACCCGCAGGGCCATGGGGCCAGGGTGGAGCGGTGGTGGGGGGCAGCGATGTCTTCAGTGCCCGAGGAGCAGAGACCCAAGGGTCATGCAGGGAATGGTCACCCTGAGAGTGGATGTGACCCCTGTTCCCAGCCCCATGCCCAGCAGGGCCTGGGGAGGAGGCCTCATCTTGGCAACGTGGAGTGCAAGGCAGCAGGGGTGCTGGGTGGGACTGATTCTTCCCCTCCAGCTGTGTCTGGCCCTCCTGGCTGCTCAGTGTTCTGTGGAAACTGGGCACTTTTAGAAAAGTCTGTCCAGGCAGGTGCTCAAAACAGCTGAGCCAAAGGGGTTCTGGGCCCCCACCTCCACAGAACAGATGGACACACTGAGGCCTGGAGAGGCTGACAAGAACCCACTTGGGCCAAAAGATGGGAATAGGACTTAAACCAGGTCTCCTGCCTCCAGGCCTGGGCTCTGGGCTCCTCTGGCCAGTGGCCCAGGGGTGTGAATGTAGCAGGGTCACCTGGGATTCTTAAAACACAAACTGCTGGGCCCCATCCCAGAGTTTCCGACATAGGAGGTCTGGGATAGACCGTCCCCAAGAATTTGCATTTCTGGCAAGTTTCCAGGTGATGCTGCTGCTGCTGGTCTGGCCCCACACTTGGAGAACCACAGCCAGGTGGACCGTGAGATCTCCAGCTGGCAGTTGTACAAATGCCTCATGTCCCTGAAAGTTGGCAGAGTGGGACGTGGGCTGTAGCGGTCACTACGTGGGGCTGGGTGCCCTAGGCCAAGGCCTTCTCAGAACAGCCCCTCTCTAAGTCTAGGACTCTCCACGGGCATCTCTCCGAAAGCCGGGGAGCAGATGGAGACCCACAGTAGAAAGGAAATGGCGAGTAGACCCTGGACCATGGTGTAGCATAGACTCACCTGCTCTGACCCCGGCAGGTCCTGGCCTGGTTCGAGGAGGGCGAGGAGACCACAACAGCCTTCGTGGAGCCGCTGGTCATCATGATGATCCTCGTGGCCAATGCGATCGTGGGCGTGTGGCAGGTGGGAGGCCTGGGGGTGGGCTGGGCCTTGGGGTCTCTGACTGCTAGGTGTGACCTCCCCCTGGTCCTGGAATCCCACAGGTCCTTCTGCTTCCAGATGTATCCCAGGCCCCAAGGGTGTCACTCCAAGGGGGTGGCCTGCTGGGGCCAGCAGGAGGCAGATGGCCGGCCTGCCTCGTGTTCTGCAGGAACGCAATGCCGAGAGTGCCATCGAGGCCCTGAAGGAGTACGAGCCTGAGATGGGCAAGGTCATCCGCTCAGACCGCAAGGGCGTGCAGAGGATCCGCGCCCGGGACATCGTCCCTGGGGACATCGTGGAAGTGGCAGGTGCTTTGGGGGCTTCCTCCTTTCATTATGGGATGCTGGTGAGCCCAACCCTCTCTGGCTCTGAATATCTTTCTGGCTGAATGTGTGTGTTTGGGGGGAGTCCTGTTGGATCCCTCCAAAGCTCTTTGGCCAGAACCCCATTGGACAGATAAGGGGGCCATAGGCCAGGGCACAGCTCAGGGCCCTGCCTCCCAGCCCAAGCCTGGCCTCCTGGGAGCCCTCCTGGCTTTCCTGGGAGGTGGCACCCAAGGCCACACTCAGCCAAGCCTTTCTCCCCGCACAGTGGGAGACAAAGTGCCTGCCGACCTCCGCCTCATCGAGATCAAGTCCACCACGCTGAGAGTGGACCAGTCCATCCTGACGGGTGAGGCTCAGAGGCTGGGGCCCAGGGCAGCTGGGCCAGGGGGTGAGGGTGTTTCACGTGGGGCTTCTCGTTTCTGATTCCACGACCAGGAGAATCTGTGTCCGTGACCAAGCACACCGACGCCATTCCAGACCCTAGAGCTGTGAACCAGGACAAGAAGAACATGCTGTTTTCCGTAAGTACCCGGGATGCCTGGAGCCTTTGCCTGGACAATGATAAAAATAGTAACATTTAAAGCCTTACAGGAAGAATCTCATCAATTACTGAGAATATATTGCAAATTTATAGTAATAATAATAGCTGTATTAGCAAAGGCTGTGTGTCTGGCTCTGTTCTAAGCCCTTTACCTGTATTAATTTATTTAATTCTCGCATTGCCTTTTAAGTAAGTACTCTTGTCTGCATTTTTCCAGCACAAGAGAGGTCAAATAAGTTGCCCAAGGTCACACAGCCAGTGAGTAGCAGAGCTGGGATGTGGACTCAGACGTCTGATTCTTGAGCTTTTCCTCCTACGCGAGGCTTATTCTGCCTTAAACTGGAGAGGGGCAGACCTTGCCTATAATCACTCAACAGAGAATCCTCTAGAGGGAGAGGCGTTGCCAAAATGGTGGAAGATGGCAGGAACAGCCATTCTCAAATAGGAAAACTGATCCCCAAGGCAAGACGCCAAGCCTGCCTGGCTCTTCTCAGGGAGAGTAATCGGTTCAGCTCTGGTGGGAGGGGTCCTTCCCTGTGGCCCCAGAGGGACTTAGCCAGGGATGCTCACAGGCTGCTCAGCAGTAGCCTCAAGCCAAGCACAGAGGCCGCAAGGACGGGTCAGGCCAGTGGGCAGTGGCCCAGAGCACAGGGTTATAAAGCTTCCCTGGAAGTGAACAGAGATGGAGAGGAGAGCGCCCAGTCTAGGTGCCCAGAAGCCTTGGACAAGCTGCTATGGGGTTGGGGGAGCACCAAGGCGCACGCTCAGGCATTGGCAGCCGTCACTAGAAGCTTTCTAAGGAGGGCACTCTGGCTAACTGCAGGTCATTTCCTTAGCAGAGGGGCCTGTAAGTGGGGGCAGGAGTTGCCAGTACCCAGGTCCTCTCCAGCCTCGCACAGTGCACCTGTCTGAAGGGGACTGAGTTATGAGCCTCCTGGGAGCAGCCGTGTCTTGGGCTTCTGTTGAACCATTTTCCAGGAAAGGACATGGAGACTCAAGGCTGGCCGCCCTTACACCAGGACTTGGGGATCTTACTGGGGCCTTGGACTTAAGCTCAAGTTTGCTGGAACCTTCAGTAAATACTTACCAACTGCATACCTGAGATCCCAGTTAGCTGCACTCCTGTGTGGCTGTGTTGGTTGTTTATGAACTGCATTTTGATGGGTTGGTGCTGTGCTACGCTGGTGGATCATGCTGTCAGCACTGGCCCCCGCTTCCTCTGTTCCCAGCTCCCGGCTAGGCCCTGGGGATATGGCACTGAACCAGGTCCTGCCTTCGCAGAGCTGACACTACCATGGCATGGCAGCAATAACTCAAGACTGCAGAGCTGTGTACATCTGGGAGCACCAAGTGACATGGAGAAAAAGCCAAGGAGGGGGATAAGAGCCATCTCCCAGCCGTTGGGGTGCTAACCAGCCCTTCTCTTATCCCTCCCTCGGCCAGGGTACTAACATCGCATCGGGCAAGGCAGTGGGTGTGGCAGTGGCCACAGGCCTGCACACGGAGCTGGGTAAGATCCGCAGCCAGATGGCGGCCGTGGAACCAGAGCGGACACCGCTGCAGCGGAAGCTGGACGAGTTTGGGCAGCAGCTGTCCCGCGCCATCTCTGTGATCTGCATGGCCGTGTGGGTCATTAACATCGGTCACTTTGCCGATCCGGCCCACGGCGGCTCCTGGCTCCGTGGAGCTGTCTACTACTTCAAGATTGCCGTGGCCCTGGCAGTGGCCGCCATCCCTGAGGGTCTCCCAGCTGTCATCACTACATGCCTGGCCCTGGGCACAAGGCGCATGGCCCGCAAGAATGCCATCGTGCGGAGTCTGCCCTCCGTGGAGACCCTGGGTTGCACCTCGGTCATCTGCTCTGACAAGACGGGCACACTCACCACCAATCAGATGTCGGTCTGCCGGGTGAGTGGCTGCAGCCAGCTTGGGGTCCCACTGGTGTTGCCATATGATGCTTGGCAGGCTGGGCTCCCTCTCTGAGCTGCTGCCTGACTCCTTTTTGGCCAAGGGAGGAGAGGACCTGTTGGTCACCCCCATGGTGGGGAATAGATCCAAGTTTTCATGGGACAAAGCAGCAAAGCCTGGCTGGACATGAGTCATTAGAACCCACATTGCCACTGCCTATCTGTGAACCTCAGTTTCCTCATCTGAATTTTGGGTGTACAGGTCCTGCCAGGTAACCACAGAGGACCAGGAGGGGGTCAAGTACAGCCTGGGCATCTGAGCCAAGCTGGATCTGGACCCGGGTTCTGTCCTGCTGCACCATGACTTTCAGTGGTCAATGCCTGTCACCAGATACACTGGCTCCAGTGACCCGGGAAGGGCCTGGGCAGGAATTATTCATTCCGTAGCACTTGATCTCAGATCCTGGGCTGCTGCCCACATCCTCCAGGGATTCTGGCTGAGACTCCAGCAGGCCCCTGTGGTAGAGGAGCGGGTGGGGTGATGGTGAGGTTGTGGGTTTCCTACCCCTCTCAGATTCTCCATTGCTCCTCTCCCACCCCGGCTCCCATAATCTGCCCACTGGCCTGGGAAACCCAGGCTCTGTATATGGGACCTTAGTCCCCCATAGAAGCCCATCAGAGGCTGCCACAGGGGAAGGGGCACCAGCACACTTTACTGCCCTGCAGCCTCTGAGCTGGTAGAATCCATAGGACGAATTCATTTGAACAGGATGTTCCTTAACAAAGATTTGAAAAACATAGGGAAGTCGTAGAGGCCTTACACCTGGATGAGGGGCTAAGAAACGACTTCTCAGGAGCTGTGCTGGCTGGAGGGCCATCCCCTGGGGCAGGGATGAAAGGACAACAGAAGGGACATTGAGCACTTACTGTGTACTGTTGGGCTGGCCGTTAGCTTGGGAATGTGCAGTAATGCAGTCTCCAGGAAGCAAGAATTATCTTCTTGGCAGAGCTGGCTGACAGACAAGGACATGGCCTGCCCTGGGAGGGGTGAGCCCCCCGTCCCTGAGGTGCAGGGGGCTGGGTGACCCAGCATGCAGGAGCTTACTCCTGGGACAGGGGTCTGTGCCTCAGGATGGGGTGTGGGTTTCCTCCCTCAGAGGCCAGGAACTCATCCCCTTGAAGGGCAAGGAGGGGCAGCTGGTCTCTGATCCCACTTTCTCCCTGTGTTACTGGTGGAGAAACTGAGGCTCAGGTGCTCAGCCAGGGGTCACATAGTGAAATGGGCAAGGACCCAAGCTTCCTGCCCCAGCTCAGGGCTCTGTCAAGCTAGCAGCTGCCCCAGAGCATTGAAGAATCTGCCATAAGCCCCTCAGGGGTCCAGAGCAAAGGACAAGCCTGAACTGGACACACTTGGGCAGAGCAGAGACACCTGGCCTCAGCTTGGATGCAGTGCTCTTTCACAGGGGAAGGGAAGGCCACGCCCCAACCTGGGGTCAGGCTTTAATCAGACTGGCTGCACAGGAAGGAGGGAGGAGGACCTGCCTGAGCATGTCTCTGTGGTCCTCAGATGTTCGTGGTAGCTGCGGCCGAAGCAGGCATCTGCCGTTTGCACGAGTTCACCATCTCTGGTACCACTTATGCCCCAGAAGGCGAAGTGTGAGTGCCGGGAGAGGGGGCGGGGTTTCTGGGTGGGCGGGGCTACTTAGGACTGCTCTGAGTTGTTTGTGGGCAGTGCCCCCTGGGGGCAGGGCCATGAGGCTAGGCACCTCCCAGAGGCGGGGCCAAGGCCCCTGTACTGACCGCTCTGGCTCCACAGACGGCAGGGGGAGCAGCCTGTGATATGCGGACAGTTTGACGGGCTGGTGGAGCTGGCTACCATCTGCGCCCTGTGCAACGACTCAGCGCTGGACTACAATGAGGTGGGCGCCTGCTCCCTTTCATGACCTCCCTAGTATCCAGGAGCTCAGGACAGACCCTTCTCCCCGAGTATGACACTCTCAGGATCGGAGGTCTCTGCCCCGTTGGAGTGCCACACCCCAGGAGCACTGCCATCCCTGCACACCCGGCACTGCCACCCCTCCCTCTCCCTCATACTGGCTTTGGAACCCTGCTGTGGGGCTCTTGGGCTGTGAGGGACTGTAATGTAAGGGGCATGGGGGCCAGGGGTGCCTAGGGGAAGAGGTTTGAAGGGCAAGATTAGGAATGGTGTCTAAAGCAGAAGGCACAGCCCAGAAAAGGCCCACAGGCCTTAGCAGCCTGATGTGATTTAGGCATTGAACATGCTGTTCCTGACTGAGCGGGGGTACTTGTCCAGACCAAGTCAGTCTGATGCCACGCTGAGGGCAGTAGACAGTCACCAAAGGGTTTGGAGCAGGGAAGTGATATGGCCAGGTCTTAGAAAAGCTCGTCCAGGCTTCTGTGTGGAGGACAAAACAGACTGGGCAAGACTGGAACCACGGAGCCCTGTGTGGTCATCCAGGCCAGAGAGGTGCTCCCTGAGTCCTGGCTGGGGCCTCTGGGAGAGGGGAGAAGACATGGGTTGGAGAGAGATTTAGGAGCCAAAATCCTGAGACTTGCTGATGGTTAGGTGAAAGAGAGAGGGGAAGTCAGGGTAGCTTCTGCTTGCTGTCCTGGCTGGGACCGGCACTGGAGTGGCAAATATAGGGAGAGGGAGAGGTAGCCGGAGGGTCCCCAGGGAACAAAGTCCAACTGGCAGCAACTGGACATGTGGGCTTGGAGCTCAGGAGAGAAGTCACGGTTGGGCTGGACACTGGCAGTTGTGAGCTCGTGAAGGCTGGTAGAGACAGAAGGCTTGTGAGGGCTCAGGGAGAGAAGGCGGGAGGGAAGGAGCAGGGCCTGGACAGCAAGGTTTAGAAAGAGGAATCTGGAGAAAGGAGCTGAGACAAGTGGGCAGAGATGAGACAGAGAACAGGGAGGGTGCGTGGCCACTGATGTCAGGGGAGAAGGGATTGTGGTAAGGGAAGGTGAGCATCACTGCCAGACACCACCAGACCCCAGGTCAGCTGGCCTGGGAAGGGCCCACAGGCCTGGGGCAAAGGAGGTTACAGGTGACTCTGGCAAAGGGAGCTCCAGGGAGTGAGTGGAAGGTGAGGCTGGGGGCCTGCTGGGAGCCACCCTGCCTCTCACTCCGTGTACCTTGGGCCCTGCTAGGCCAAGGGTGTGTATGAGAAGGTGGGAGAGGCCACGGAGACAGCCCTGACTTGCCTGGTGGAGAAGATGAATGTGTTTGACACCGACCTGCAGGCCCTGTCCCGGGTGGAACGAGCTAGCGCCTGCAACGCGGTGAGCAGTGTGGGGGGCTTGGGCAACAGACCCCGGGGCTGGGGCATCAGGAGAAGGGAGAGAGAGGAACTAAGTCGTGGGAGGCTTCTGGGAGGAGGAAGGATCTCAAACACCTGGTGAGGCTGGGCTGGGGAGAAAAGAGAGGAAAAGCTGAGTGTGGGCAAAGACTGGGAGTTGGGGAATACACAGCATGGTCAGGACATGGCAACTTTGGGACATTTCTGGGGCTGGAGAGGGAGATAGAGGCCTTGAATGCTAGGGTCAGCAGAGGGTGGACACCATCATGCAGGGAGCAAGAGGCTCTTCATGGGGTCAAGCGGCTGGTGAGGAAGCTGGCTCTGCCCCAGACACCCTGACCCCTACCCCTCGGACCTGGCAGGTTATCAAGCAGCTCATGCAGAAGGAATTCACCCTGGAGTTCTCCCGAGACCGGAAGTCCATGTCAGTGTACTGCACGCCCACCCGCCCTGGCCTGGTGGCCCAGGGCAGCAAGATGTTTGTTAAGGTGGGCCTGCCTGACCGGCCTGGGGCCTCTGTACACCTGGGGTTCCCGGAAGGGCCTGGTCTCCAGTCCCCCGAAGAACCAGCGGTGGGAGCTGAGGGAGGTGTGAGGCCCACTGTCAAAGTGATGACTCCAGAATGAGGGTGATCAGCTGCTGTGGGGAACTGGGAGGAGGATCCAGGCCTGGTGCAGATAAAGCCAGGGCCAGATACCCAGGCCTGCCCCTCACCCGGGTCCCAGCTCTGGACAGAGAGGCACTGCCTGGCCGTGTGACCTTGGGGTCACCATGCCCCTCTGTGGGCCCCGGGCTCCCCATCTGAACGACAAGGCCAGGCTGGAAGTTCTCAAAAGCCCTTTTGCTTCTGACGGGGAGTGTTGAAGTGGTTGGCACCCAACTTTGGTGCTTTGTGTTTTGGAAACTGAATCCCAAGGAAGGAAGGAACCAGCTCCTGTTCAGACCCCCATCCATAGCACTTCCTGTCACTGATTTTGAACCTGAAGTAGGAATCACAGCCCCAGCTTCACCTGCAGTGGGGGGTTTTAACCTCTTTTGAAATGAAAAGCTTCTGTATTGGGAGAATTTGGAGTGCCCTTTGGGGAGGGGGAGGAGGCACTGATGGAGGATTCAGAGATTCTTCCCAGCTTGGGGTGAGGTCTGGGGTGAGACTCCCCAAAGCTGCTGAGGAGCCTGACACCCCCAAGACCACCTTCCCAGAGCCACACCCCCACATCCTGAGCACGGCTCTGTTTCTGGTCTCCAGGCAGGGCTCAGCCCATCTCCCTCTGCTGAGCACCCTGCAGAACTGGGGACCCAGTAGTGCCAGGCTGACAGGGAGGTGGGGCCTGCAGGAGGGCTGCCGTTCTCACCCTACCCCACAAAGTGCTGCAGCAGGCCTCAGCTGGGGGCTGGAGGGGACCCCCAGCTCCCTCTGGGCTTCCTTCAAGGGGGGCCCTGTAGGTTCCCACTCTTGAGTTTTTAAAGAATGGATTCCGGTCTGTGCCTTGCCGTGTTTCCCCTTGGGTGGCCTTTCCCCATATCTGGGCCTCAATTTCGTCAACTGGGCAGGAGGGAGGGGAAGGGTCCTGACTGACGGAGTTGCCTCCCCCTCCCCCACGACGCAGGGGGCTCCCGAGAGCGTGATCGAGCGCTGCACCTCAGTCCGCGTGGGGAGCCGCACAGTGCCCCTGAACACCACCTCCAGGGAGCAGATCCTGGCCAAGATCCGGGACTGGGGCTCGGGCTCGGACACACTGCGCTGCCTGGCACTGGCCACCCGGGACACGCCCCCTAGGAAGGAGGACATGCAGCTGGACGACTGCAGCAAGTTTGCGCAGTACGAGGTGGGTGCCGGAGCCCCGGGCTGGGAGCCGTGCGTCTGTCTGCAGTGGCTGGGCACGTGGCAGGCTGATGGGCCTGGGGCCCACTTGCATCTGCCCCCTCCTCACAGACGGACCTGACTTTCGTGGGCTGCGTGGGCATGCTGGACCCTCCAAGGCCCGAGGTGGCTGCCTGCATCACACGCTGCCACCAGGCGGGCATCCGTGTGGTCATGATCACAGGGGACAACAAAGGCACAGCTGTGGCCATCTGCCGCCGGCTTGGTATCTTCGAGGACACAGAGGACGTGGTGGGCAAGGCCTACACGGGCCGTGAGTTCGATGACCTCAGCTACGAGCATCAGCGCCAAGCCTGCCGCACAGCCCGCTGCTTCGCCCGTGTGGAGCCCGCCCACAAGTCCCGCATCGTGGAAAACTTGCAGTCCTTTAACGAGATCACCGCCATGGTGAGGCCCTGAGGCGGGAGCCTCGGGGGAGGTGGCGAGGGGTCGGGGGAGCACCTGTCACCGAGTTTGGAAAGAACAACCCAGCAACCCCTGCCTCTGCTTCATTTTTATTATTTGCAACATTTTATTACAAAAAATTTCAAATTTGAAATGGTATCACCACCTAGATTCTACAAATAACGTATTGTTAGATTTGCTTTATCACGCATCTATCCATCCATCTGTCCTTAATCCCCCTTTTCTTAAATGCATTTTGAAGTAAGTTGCAGACGTCAGTACACGTCGCCCTGGCACACTTTGGAATACATCCTCTACAGAGTGTTTGTTTGTGGCTCCAGTTCTGTTCCTTTTTGAGGTAAAACTTGCATGCAGTGAAATGTACGTGTCTTAAGCAGACCATTCATTTGATGAGTTTTGATGTATGCACACACCTTTGTCACCCAAACTCTTACCAAGTTAGGTAACATTACCATCAACCCATGAAGTCCCCTTATGCTCTTTCTGCATCAAGCCCCCTCCCACAACAGGCCACCACTGTTCTAATATTTTTTCCATCATAGGTTAGTTTTGTCTGTCCTAGATTTTCCCATGAACAGAATCATACAACATGTGCTTTTTTGTGTCTGACTTCTTTCTTTTAAGATTCATCTGTGTTGGTGTGGGTATCAGTGGATGACTGCTCTTTTGTTATTCAGTGGCATCCCACTGTGTGCATATACCACTGTCTCTTTATCCATTCCCCTCTGGATGGACATTTGGTTTGGGCTCACGTTTTGTTCTGTCTCATTCTTGATTGCTGACCTCTCCGTTAACACTGATCTGATTCTCGACATTGACCTCACCCCTGACATGGCTTCAGTTTATAATCTTGATCTCCAGCCCAACCCAGTCCTTTACCTTGACCTTAATCCTGTCGTGTGGCTCAGCCTTGACCTGGATAGTGAGCTGGGCACCAGCCTTGATTTGATAACTGTAAACTTGTTCTTGACCTTGTTTTTGACCTTCACGCTGACTTGGTCCCTGACCTTGACTTAATCTTGACCATCTTAATCTGATTCTTTACTCTGAGCTCAACCCTGATACGGGTTCCAGTCTTGACCTGGATCCTGACCTGATCCCTGGCATTGAGCTTGACCCCTCCCCAATCCAGTACTTTATGTTGACCTCAACTTTGATCTAGCCTTGAATTTTGACCTAGACCTCAGCTCCAACCTCTAACATGACATGACTCCTGATATGGACCATAGCCTTCACTTGAGCTCTACCTTAATCTAATTTTTTTTTATCTTGAGTCCATTCTTAACCCTACCCTTCACCTTGCCTCCAACCTTCACCTTGCCTCCAACACCTTACTGGCCCTTGACTTGGGCCACAACCTTAATCTCATTCCTGACTTGACCTTAGCTTTTCCTCAACCTCAGTTTCATCTTCTATCCCACATCCCACCTGAATTTCACCCCCACCCTCATCCCCGTCCCCACCTCACCATCTTCTCTGACCTTAGACTTGGTCTTCTCCCCAACTTCGCACTTGTCTGCACTCCGTGCCTTTCCCTTAGCCTCGTTCCCACATCAGTTTCTAAGCTCATGACCTCACCATTTGTTCTGTCCAGCTGTCTGCTTCCTTGAGGACATCCCCTAAACTTGGTGGTAGGCTAGGTTGAGGGGAGTCAGGGAGCTGGAAGGGAACTTTCTCAGACATGAACCCACCTAACTTGGTCCTCAGACTGGAGATGGGGTGAATGATGCCCCAGCCCTGAAGAAGGCGGAGATCGGCATCGCCATGGGCTCTGGCACAGCCGTGGCCAAGTCGGCGGCGGAGATGGTACTGTCGGACGACAACTTTGCCTCCATCGTGGCTGCGGTGGAGGAGGGCCGGGCCATCTACAGCAACATGAAGCAGTTCATCCGCTACCTCATCTCCTCCAATGTTGGCGAGGTTGTCTGGTGAGGCCCCGCTTTCCCTCCTTCCAGCCCTCTGGACCAGCTCTGCATCCCGAGGACTAGGGGAAGTGCCTGTTCCTGGGATGGGGCTGCTGGAATGGAGGGACCCTGCCCTAAGGCTGGGCCTTCCAGAGTCCCATCTCAGGGTGGGCAGGGATGGGAGCACCAAATCATTCTCCGGAGGCCCAGATGCACCCCAGCCCCCGAGGTGGTGCCTGAGAAGTCCCCTGTCATCCCTCCAGCCATAACCTTCTTCCCACTTTCAGAGTCACCCAAGATGGGAGAACTTGCGTCACCTCTGGGCAGTAATGTGTTCGTGTGTGTACGTGTGTGTGCACGTGGTATGTGTGCCTGAGAGGTGTGTGTACATGTGTGCATGTGAGTTCTTGTTCATGTTTGGGCATGAGTGCAGCACAGAGGTTCATGCTAGTGTGTAATTCTGGCACCCTTAGGTTCACGAGTGAGAGATGCTTGTGGGGATTGGTAAGCATGTTTGCCCAGATATGTAAGAATTCTGCATCTGCACGTTGGGGCAAGCGTGTAGGTGTTTGCTTGAGTTTGTGAGATTGTGTGGCCTGTGCTAGGTTTTTGCACATGTCTGTGAACAATGTGTATCTGCTAGGGCATGCATTGTCCATGTGTGTCTGTGTGCGTGTGTGTTCACCCTAAAGAGGAGCTGTGTCCTAAACAGGAGAGGCCTAAAGGGCAGGTCTGTCCAGGCGCCAGAGGGCAGGGGTGGCCCAGTGTGAGGCAGAGCCTTGTGCATACACACTTTTCACTCCTGCACACACATCAGAACTAGCAGAGCGAGGTGGGGGAGCTCCCGGACCTGGGGTGTGAATAACAGCCGGACCCTCCATTTGCTGGGGGCTACAGCCCATGACTCTGGTTCCAGCATCTTCCTCACGGCAATTCTGGGCCTGCCCGAAGCCCTGATCCCTGTGCAGCTGCTCTGGGTGAACCTGGTGACAGATGGCCTACCTGCCACGGCCCTGGGCTTCAACCCTCCAGACCTGGACATTATGCAGAAGCGGCCCCGGAACCCTCACGAGGCCCTCATCAGTGGCTGGCTCTTCTTCCGATATCTGGCTATTGGAGGTGAGTGGAGCCCCAGCCCTTGGTGGCATTCCTGGAGCTTCCTAAGACTCAGCCTGGCTTATGCCAGAAAAAAAAACCCAAAAAACAAACAAAAAAAACCCAGGCTCATGTAACTGAAAAGACTAGGGCATGCCTCAGGCATGGCTGGATCCAGGCCTCAGACAGTATCACTGGCATATTTTGGCTTTGCCTCAGCTCCATTCTCAGGCAGATGCCCCCTGGGGTGGCAGAATGGTTGCTGCAGCTCCAGCCCTCATACTTGTTGCATTACAACCTCCCAAAATACAGACAAGGGAGCCTTTTATCCTACTGCTCCATCAGTAGTAGGATAAAAGTCTCAGGCCTGTCCTTAGCCCACATTGGGTCACCTGCTTCTCTCCTAGCCAACCACTGTGTCCAGGGTATGGCAGATTCTGACTGCCAATCAGGGCCTAGCACTGGCCCCGAGGGTAGGTGCTGCCAACCACCCAGCTCAGAAAGGGAAAGACTGGTTCCCTGACAGAGATTCGGGGAATTATTAGGAAGGGGAAAGGATGCCAGAAAACCACAGGTGTCCACTATAGCCAGTTTCCTCCTGCCCTCCCCACAGTGTACGTCGGCCTGGCCACAGTGGCTGCCGCCACCTGGTGGTTCCTGTATGATGCCGAGGGACCTCAGGTCACCTTCTACCAGCTGGTGAGCAAGGGAACGGCCAGGGAGCCTGCTGGGGTTATTCTGGAGGTAGAACCCACAGCCCAAGTTGTTGGGAGTTCCAGGGGAAAGGAGTCCGGAACCCCACGGGTGGCCAAAGGCTGTCCCCCCACCCCCACCCCCACACAGACGTGCGCCACCTCGGGAGTCAAGCTCAGGAGCCACAGGGGGCCTAGAGGAGAGGCTTCTCCCTCTCCCAGTCATTCAGTGACGGGGGCACCGAGGGTCTGACTGCCCAGAAGTGTCTAACCTTTATTGGGAAACCCCCCAAACATTGAGGGCTCAGAGACAGGAGCCTCTAAATGGTGGAACTTCAGGCAGAGGGTCAAACTGAGGCAACCAAGAGTGGAGGGAAGGAATCTGCCAGGCTCCCCACTTCCATGTTTCTCAGGGAGGGGACTCGTTGGCCTCTTGAAGTCACCTGGCTGGCAGGTGCGCACCATAGGCCTGGCTTAGTTCAGCACAGCTCTGGAAGCAAGCAAGGAGACCCCTCAGCTGCCGTCTGTCAGTCTGTCCCTCTGTCTGAGCAGCCAGCACATCTTTGCTTGAACAAGCCTTGACGGCAATTCCGGGTTTCTGTTTTGGGGAGAGCTGCCAGGATGCGGCATTTCCTTCCTCTGAATGTGCCTGTCTTTGCTACTTCCCTGTAGATTGAAGAGCTCCACGGAGGGGCCCCGCTTCCTGCCCACACAGTCTTCCCCGCCCCGAGGGCAGCGTTAGGGCTCTTTCAGGGGTTCACGTCCAGGTAGAGGCAGCCCAGAGGTGCTTTCCTCCACCCACCAGTCCTCGAGCACGTGGGGCTCTCACTCCTGGTGGCAGTGCAGAGCCCAGACCTGCATCCCAAATGCCCGCCAGCCCTCAGCCCCTGCTCACGCAGCTCCTGTGGGAGCGGCCGGTGGAGAGCAGGCGCGTGCTGCCCGTCCCGCTGCGGCCTTCTTCCAGCCCTGTCCCTACGACCATCCTTGCACTAGGGAGCCCAAATCTCTGACTACCTCTGCCCACATCGACCTTTATTCTGAGGGCAGTCGCAAATGTCCAGCTGGATACCCCCTCTGGGATGTCCCACAGCCACACTACACTCACCAGGTCCAAAGTCAGATCTGTCACTTTCTCCCAAACAGTCCCCTCCTCCATCTCCACCTTGGTTCCACTGCCTGCCTGGTCACCGAAGCCAGACTCCTGGGGGTCAGGCTAGACACGCACTCCACTCCCACTACCAGCCAGTCCCCAGTCCCCTTGGTGCCACCTTCCCAACTGCCTTCAGGTTTCTCATTTTTCCACTTGGTCAAGAAATAGCTGTTAGGCACCAGCTCCGTGGCAGGCACAAATTGCTAAGGTACGGCAGTGACCGAGCTGGCAAAGCCTCTGCAAAGAGCTTCCAGTCTGGCGGGAGAGAGAGAGGTGGAAATGGGCAGTCACATTTCACGGTGAGAAGTGCTTCAGCAGAGAAAAGGCAGGTGGCTATAGGACTTGGAGGTGGTCAAGTGTTAGACGTAAGGTAGAACTTTTCAGCTCCAGGCGTTGGGATTTCAGCAGAGATGCCCAGAGCCCCCCATGGTTCCTGGAGGAATGCTGAGTAAAGGCAGCTGAGTGGATCCTGGGTCCCGGCTGCCCAGGTTCACACCCTAGTTCCATCTCGCACTAGCTGTGTGGTTTTGGACAAGCTCCTTAATCTCTCTGTTGGTTTCTGCATCCATATAAAATGGGTAATAATAGCCCCTGCCTTCTGAGGCTATCAGGACGATCACCGGAGTCAGTCCCCATGAAGTGCTTAGCCCAGCACCTGGCACACAGGACGAGCTATGCAAGTGTTAATTAATGAATCCCAGAGCAGGGCTTGCAGGTGAAGATAAATAGGAACTAGCCAGGGAGGCAGAGGGAAAGAGGAGGCAGGACAGTGGCCTCCAAAGAAACAGATTCCCTCTGGGGCTCACGATGAACCTGTGAGGCAGAAGTTCCAGCCCTGAGCACCTTCTAGTGAACAATGCAGGAGGCCACACTGTGGCCCGTGACCTGGGGTACAATACGTGCGTGGCAGGTGCTCACTGGGGAAACCCAGAAGGTCTGAATTAGGCACCTCGATGTGTTGCTATCCTTCACATTTTCTTCCCTGGGCACGTGCTTGAGGATGCAAGCACGCACGTGTCCGAGTGGGAGGTGTGTGCCCCGCGTTACACGTACGTGCCGGCATTAGGTCGTTACCATTCAGGTCTGGGAGGTGGGGCCTGACGGTGGTAGCACAACCAGCAGGAGCATTTGGTCCTCTTGGTCACTGGGTGGGTTCAAAGTTCAGGACACTTGCTCTGCCCTATGATCAGATCTGCCCTATGAAGAGGTGCACTTGTCCCAAATACCAGAGCTTGGCTTATTGGAGAAAATCCCACCGTTGATTTAAATAAGATTCTCCAGCTCTTTGTTAAAATAAGAAATCTAGCCAAGCCAAAGTCTTTTATCATTCTTCATCCTGCATGAGAAGAGGGCTAGCGGCCCCTTCTGGCTGACAGAGCCCCTTGCCCGCATTGATGCTGCGTAAGAAAATCAGGGATGTATTTTTACAGATTTCTCTTTGAGGGCTATTTTCACAGCACGTGGCCCCTGTTCTAAACCCTTAGCTTAAAAGATCTCTGTGCTCTGATGAGACTCCAGAGGCCAGATTTATGTTGTTGGAGAACAGAGCCTTTTAATGGTGATGAATGTTCACGTTTATCCCCTTGGTGCAGAGGAGAACAAGACAGAAGTTCTCACGAGCGCCCTCGTTTCAGTATCTTATCACAGCAGATTCTGCGAGCGAGGCTTATGGACAGGAAGAAAACTCCCCTGGGGCTGCAGAGGCGAGGGCCACTTCCCTTATCAAGAGCCCCGAGAGCTCTTCGTTTATTTTTTTAACTTTTTTTTATTGAGTAATAGTCATTTTACAATGTTGTGTCAAATTCCAGTGTAGAGCACAATTTTTCAGTCATACATGAACATACATATATTCATTGTCATATTTTTTTTCGCTGTGAGCTACAAGATCTTTTATATTTCCCTGTGCTATGCAGTATAATCTTGTTTATCTATTCTACATTTTGTAAATCCCCGTCTGTCCCTTCCTACCCCCCGCCCCCTTGGCAACCACAAGTTTGAATTCTATGTCTATAAGTCTGTTTCTGTTTTGTTTTTACTTTTTTTTTTTTTAGATTCCACATATGAGCGATCTCGTATGATATTTTTCTTTCTCTTTCCGGATTACTTCACTTAGAATAACATTCTCCAGGAATATCCATGTTGCTGCAAATGGTGTTATGTTGTCGGTTTTTATGGCTGAATAGTATTCCATTGTATAAATATACCACATCTTCTTTATCCAGTCATCTGTTGATGGATATTTAGGCTGTTTCCATGTCTTGGCTATTGTAAATAGTGCTGCTATGAACATTGGGGTGCAGGTGGCATTTTGAAGTAGGGTTCCTTCTGAATATATGCCCAGGAGTGGGATTCCTGGGTCATATGGTAAGTCTATTCCTAGTCTTTTGAGGAATCTCCATACTGTTTTCCACAGTGGCTGCACCAAACTGCATTCCCACCAGCAGTGTAGGAGGGTTCCCCTTTCTCCACAGCCTCTCCAGCATTTGCCATTTGTGGACTTTTGAATGATGGCCATTCTGACTGGTGTGAGGTGATACCTCATTGTAATTTTGATTTGCATTTCTCTAATAATTAGTGATATTGAGCATTTTTTCATGTGCCTATTGATCATTGTATGTCTTCCTTGGAGAATTGCTTGTTTAGGTCTTCTGCCCATTTTTGGATTGGGTTGTTTGTTTCTTTCTTGTTAAGTCATATGAGCTGCTTATATATTCTGGAGATCAAGCCTTTGTCGGTTTCATATGCAAAAATTTTCTCCCATTCTGTAGGTTGTCGTTTGTTTCATTTATGGTTTCCTTTGCTGTGGAGAAGAGAGCTCCTTGTTAATTCTGCACCTGGCGTGTGTTGGGCCGCGTCATAAGCAACGGGCGGGGCTGGTGGAGCTGGATTTCAGTGGCAGAAATGGAGGGAGGGAGGGATGGAATCTTATTTAATAATAGTGACTGGGGCCCCAGTAGCCTTCCTCATCTGCCACCAAAGGTGAATTCTAGTCAAGTGGAATTTTGCTGACTGGTTTTTACATGCATTTACTTATTCAGTGGTCTCAGTTAATCCCCACCCCCACTCCTGCTCCTCCAGTGCTCAGGGTCCCATCCCCTGATTCCAGGGCTCCCTGCTGTCCTCCCCAAACTAATGCCAGCTACTCTCCCTCTGTCCCACCACACCCCTGCCCAGAACGGTCTGCCCTTCTCCCTGGCATGGTGCAGCCTCTCTGTCTCCATCCTGGGTGAGCGAGCCCCCCTCCCTGAGCCCTCCCTGTGGCAGAGCTGGTGATACTGAGTCCTCAGATGTGGGTGAGGGGGAGGGTGGGGCAAGGCTTCCCCTTCCCATGCTCTGGCCCTGCTTCTGACCTCTGTTCTCCCCACCCCCTCCCAACCCCACCTGGGTGCTCTCAGAGGAATTTCCTGAAGTGCTCCGAGGACAACCCGCTCTTTGCCGGCACTGACTGCGAGGTCTTTGAGTCACGCTTCCCCACGACCATGGCCTTGTCTGTACTGGTGACCATTGAAATGTGCAACGCCCTTAACAGGTGGGCTGGGCATAGGGCCCTGGATCTGGGGTTGTGGAATGGGGGCTGAGGGTTAGTCAGGGTCCAGAATTAGGGTCAGAGGTGTCCAGGATCGTGGTCTGAGGTTCACGGGGTCCAGGATTGGGGCCTGAGGGTCAGAGGAGTCCGGAAGAGGGTTCTGAGACCCAGTGGGGGCCAGAATTGAGATCCAGAGGACAAAGGGAAACATGATTGGGGTCTAAAGAAATAGAGGGGCCAGGATTGGGTCTGAGGGACAGAAAAAGGGGGTCCAGGCTCCTGGGGACTGAGTGAGCAGCAGTGACACAGTCCTCTGGGCTGCAATGGCCTCCCAGGAGTGCTCCAGTCCTTAAAGAGCAATGCTGAGGCTCAGACCTCCCCCACATCTCCACGGGGTTGGGGGGTGACCACAGCAGGGCCTGCCCGCATCCTGGCCCGAGGTGAGCGCCCTGTGCCCTTGGCAGCATCTCGGAGAACCAATCGCTGCTGCGGATGCCTCCCTGGCTGAACCCCTGGCTTCTGGCGGCCGTGGCCATGTCCATGGCCCTGCATTTCCTCATCCTGCTTGTTCCGCCCCTGCCCGTGAGTCACTGTCCTGCCCCGCTGCCCTTCTGTGGCTCCTGGGGTGACAGGGTCCAAATCCTCCTCTGACACTGGACCTTTCTGGGCCCCTTTGTGATGGAAACCATCTGGGGGCTGGGGTGGAGGGAGATCTGATGGTGCTTAGTAAATGCAGCCTATGTCGGGACCCTGGCCAGCCGCTGTCCCCTAGGTGTGTTCCCCACTTTGGGACCCCCCCCCAAAGACTTGAGGAACAGAAGAGGTAGGGAGTCTCCCAGAGCTGGGCAGGTGGAAAGACTACACCCCTTCCTGGTGCAGAATCCCTCCCACTTCCCAACAGGACAGAGGGATTCGGTCCTGCGGGTGAGGGCAGGGGAGGGCACCTCAGGCAGAAGAAACAGGGTAGACAAAGATCTGGAGGTGAGACCTTGAGAGGCATCTTAGATGTGCTTGTGAAGAGTCCCATGTGGCCTGGGTGGATGAAGCGGTGGATTGTGGGGGCTCTGGGCAGTCCTTCCTTTAACCAAACCTCCCCTGCCCCAGCTCATCTTCCAAGTGACCCCGCTGAGTGGGCGCCAGTGGGTGGTGGTGCTCCAGATCTCCCTGCCTGTCATCCTGCTTGATGAGGCCCTCAAGTACCTGTCCCGGAAGCACATGGATGGTGAGTGGGAGGCCCCAGACCCTCCCCACCCTCCTGGCCTCCAGCCTGCCTCTCTGCCTACCCCTGCTCACAGGCTGCAGCGGGCTGGATCCAGGTTCAGTCTGTACAGGGGGAGGTGTTCTTGGATTGCCAAGTGGAGGCTGTGTTAATTGCCAGGTGGGGTCTGGTGGCTGTGACCCTTGGTGTCTGCAGGGGTCGGGGCCCTGGGCTTACTGAGCGGCCAGCAGGAGCACTGCTCAGGGTTCCGCTGCTTGCTCTCCTCACTTGCCACCAACCCTGCACAGCTGGGCCTACTGTGCCCTCCTCTGGGCCTTGGCTGCTGACTTCTCTGAACCTGGCCTGTCTTTATCAAGTCATTGTTGTGACAGCCTCCCTGGGCATGGAGTGGGCAGCCGCTGATGGCCTCCCAGACTCCAGACCACACCAAGTTGGCCTCTTTGATGTGGGTGGGTGGAAGGGGGCAGTTCTCTGTTTCTGAGTTCACAGCTCTGGGTTTGCCTGAGGACAGCATGGCAGGGGTCCAGGTGAGGGGCAGCGTGTGGAGGAGCAGGCTGGGGTATGGCGTCCATGGGGCAGGGTGCTCAGAGAGTGGGCGATTCTGAACCTCCCCAGAGCAAGGGAGGCAGTATCGTTCTCCCTGTCCAAGCTGCCCAGATAGGGAGGAAGCAAGGGCGAGAAACTCTGTTCCTGGGAGTTTGTGCCAAGGCAGTAGGCCCATGGCCAGGTTGCTAAGGAGGGCCTGGGTTAGGCCCAGAGATGGCTGAGGCCTGCACTGGAGCAGCTGGGTCCTTGAGGGCCACCACTGGCAGGAATGTATCCTCAAACCAGGGGAGGGTGCCTTGAGGGGGGTTTATTAATAGATCACGTGCCTGTCATTCCGCAGGGGCCAAGGCAGGCAATCAGTCCCCATC